GCTTATAACTCCTTTGTTTTGAGTTCAATTAAGCTTAAATTTGGATAAGAGCTATATCTCGACGACCCTGTTTTAACATATAGCACACATCATGGCATAGCTTAAAACGAGAAAATTTTTAGAAAGAAGATGGGCTCAAAACATGAAAATTCAAATTACATAAAGATTAATATCCAATTCTTTGAGAGGCCATAGCTCAAGATCCCGACGTCGGATCGTCGTAAATATGGGTCAGTTGTGACCATGCTTCGAATAGCTACAATTTGATATAATTCTTGTAAATGATCAAAGGTTGGATGACACGCATTTTGAGGTTAAAAATGACATTTTCTCGGTCGTTGGAATCCTATTTTTCAGCAACTTCACAAAATTTGAACGTTCTCAAACTGATACCAAAATGGATGAATTTATCACAAAATGATTGTGATAGTATCCTCTTCAATTTGTGATCAAAATGAAGGCTTGGAATGTCATAGATCGTACCAGATTGGTGGTCGAAGAATCATGAGTTTATAAAACTTGGCCAGATTTTTTATTCTTCTTTAAAAATCGATTTCGAAAAGATCAAATGGTATCAAAACGTGTGCAATAGTTCAAGCATTGATTCTACGACGATCAATTACTCGAATTACCACAATAAGCATTCGAAAAAGCTCCTGGGGCCTAGCAATGGCAAGAGGCTCCTCATGGAGGAATAGTTTTGTCATTTGTTGAAAAGTACTGAAGGGTATTTTGATCATTTGGTCCAAAAACGAGATTAATATTTTAATTCATAAAATGTATATTTTTTGACAATTTTGGTAGTTTTTGAGCATTCCACCCTTGTTTTTTTATTGCTCTATATAAGGAACTCAAGTCATTTGTAATAGTCTCTCTTAGTCATTTGTAATCAAACTCTTGAACACTTGAACATTTGGAGCATGTTCTTTTACTTTGCTTTCAAGTTCAAGTTCAAAAGACTCAAGATGAGAGGGGAGAGAAACATTCCTAGACAGAGAAAATACCTTGAAATACCCTACACTCCCTAGAACCCTAAAATTGCAACTACCTTAGGATTCCCAACTCCCAATCCCATATTCCCTAAAATTCCTAGCTTTCAATCCTAATCCATACACCCTATACCCTACCTTAGTCACCCTACACCATACACTATAGTGCACCATACACATTAACCTATCCCATATACCTTAATTATCCTACACCTTGGCCTTTACCATACACCTTAATTACTATACACCACATCTCAACCTAACCTACCTAAACCATACACCTAAGCCTTTGACCCTAACTTAGACCCATAAAAACCAAGACCTCTCTCTCTCGTGTGCATGCAAAGGGACCAATGAAAGTATACCTAGCTCAAGCACATTCTAGGTCTACTCTCTCTCCTCTTTCTCTCTCGCCCTCTTACTCTCTCCTTCTCTCTCTTCTTTCTCTCTTTCTCTCTTTTCCCTCTCTCTCTCTCCTCCTGCTCAGACCTAGGATGGGTCCGAGGCCTCCCTCTCTCCGCTCTTTTTCTCTCTCTCCCTTCCAGAGCGAGACCCACACCTAAGGCGGGCCTAGCCTCTTTCTCTCTTTTCCCTTCTCTTACTCTCTTACTCTCTCTCCCATCCACCCTCTCTCTCTCTGTTATCTATCTGCCCCTCTCTTTATCTTTGTTCCCCATCCGCCCTTACTCTCTCTCTCTCTCCCACCCACCCTCTCTCTCTCTTTGTTCTCTATCCTCCCCTCTCTCTTTCCCATCCGCCCTCTCTCTCAGTTCTCTATCCGCCCCTCTCTCTCTCCATTCTCCTCATTTACCCCTCTCTCACTACACACACCTTATCCGCCCCTCTCTCACTCCACTCTCCTCATCCGCCCCTCTCTTACTACACCTATCCGCCCTACTCTCATACACCTCATCCGCCCCTAACTGCCCCTACCCGCTCCTCTCACTCCACTCCCCCTATCCGCCCTACTCTCATTCGCCCCACTCTCATTCCCCCTCTTAGCCCTATTTTCATCCACCATACCTCTCATCCGCCCTACTCTCTCACTCCACATGCCTTATCCATCCTTCTCTCATTCTTTCATACGCTCAATCATCCCTTAACCCCATTCACCCCGCTTCCTTCATTTTTTTTTAATACTTCTCTTCTCTTTCTCTAAATCATATCTTAATTTCTCATTCATTTTACTTTGTTCCTCATTCTTTGTCTTTGAATGTTGCTTCTTTTACCTCTTGATCACTCGATTCGAGGTCATCCTGAGATAGTGCCCTAAGGTTCTACCTCTCGGATTGTTACTCTAACTGTCAGCTCATACAGTGAAGTTGGATCATAAGAGATACTAATTTTCTTACAATCGGTCACTCGGGTTAGGGTAACCCTGAGTGAGCTTTCTTTAGAGTTTTGACCTTTTTACTACTCTAACCACTGAGTCACACAATGTTCGGGTTGTGAGAGTACTTTCGTCTTTCTCTCTCACTTCTTCTCACACTTGATTACTTTTAGGAGGCTCTTTGGTTTATTGATATATTTATAGACTCAGTCTTGTAACTCCACATTCCAAACCCTTCAGGTACAAGGCTTCAAGCCTGGTTCTTTTCTTCGACTTCGGTAAGACCTCTTTGGAGAGGTTATGCTGGGAGGCTGCCCCATTTTCTTTGGATCATCTGTCCACTTCTTTTTACTTTGTCTTCTTCATCTTCTTCTTCTTCTTTTCACATCTAAACTAAGTTCTTATCAAGTTTTTATTCATATTCCTTCTCTCTTGCTTATTTCTTTGTCTCTCCACCCCCAAAACTAAAGCGTTTATCCCATAAAACACATCAAAGAAGAGTACATTCTATTTGGATTTCAATAGCAGTTTTCAAGTGAGAGTCCAAGTGAGGTGTTGAGTTTAGAGAGGGGGCCGAATTCAAACCACACTGTTGGAAAGCCAGAGGGCTTTCGTTTATTAATCTAAGAGGGCAATAGCCTCATCTTATCTCACAACTCAAACCACGGTGAGGTAAGTGCTTGAGTCTATTTCTTCATCGCTTTAAAGCCCTTTTATAGTTGGACATACCTATCCGTACACGATACACGAGTCGCACACGTGCTCGTGAGGTCGGGAGGTTGTTCGAGAGGGGGTTAATTGAACCCAGGTCCTTGCCCGAGGGAGGTAGATCCAGGCCCAACCAAAGTTGGCTTGTTTGATCAAATCATTGGTGTAGTTTTTTTGGTTAACTATATATCCATTCGGGAAATAATGAATCTCTAGGCCAAGAAAGTAAGTCAGCGGATCCAAATGTTTCATTTTGGATGAGTGACTGAGAAACTCTTTCAAGTGTTTTATATTATCAATGTTATCTCCTATGATGATAATATCATCAACATATAGGAGAATAATTGTCATCCCTGAAGAACAATGATGAGTAAATAGTGAATAGTCATGAGCACTTTGTTTCAACCCAATGTTCAGAATGACCAGTCGAAATCATTCAAACCAAGCTCTTGGAGCTTGTTTTAAATCATACAAGGATTTTTTTTTTTTAATGATATACCATAGATTTGTCATGGTAATACCCAAGAGGAGGTCGCATAGATACTGTCTCTTCCAAATGTCCATGAAGAAATACAATCTTCACATCCATCTGAGAGATAGTCCACTGATGAATGGCTGAGAGGGCAATTACGGTACATACAACGGTCATTTTAGCAACATGAGCAAATGTTTCATCCTATTCTATGCTATACTCATGTTTGTATCTTTGAGCAACTAGCCGTGCTTTATATCACTCAATCCCTCTATCATATTTAAGCTTCACAAAAAAAACACAAAAAGAGGCAAAGAAAAATCTTTACCTATTGACTATTATCAACATGTATGTATAATACAACCAGAGATAACTTACACAACAAGATAAATTACAATGAGTAACTTCCTATGAAATATACACATTTCATATATAGCAAACTAATAGAAAATCTTCAATCTCTACAAACACAACTTTAGGAAATGATGGGATTCACAAGAAGCCAACAATAATAACATTAAATGAAGGCAATTCTTTTGGTATCGTCATCGTGATCTATCCAAGAAATATGGTCCCACATGGACTAAGATGTGAGCATAGTCCCACAGACTTAAAATATTTATCTTATAAAATATAAATATGGTTTATATTTTATTTTCTAAAAACAAATTACTATTGAAGAGATTTGAGCTTACAACTTTCTAAGGATAAATGTAACATATAAATAGTTATATCAAACCATCAATAAATAATGTGAAAAAAATTGTCACCAATGAGCACCATTCAGGAAAATAAAAGAAATAAAACATGAATTTTTATTTTTATTATATATTGATTTTTTTAAAATTTTATATTTGTGACTTTTGAATTCTAGTTATTGTTTTTAAAAATTATATTTAACTTTATGCAATTATTTTTAAAATTACGTCTATGTAAATAAAAGTAGTACGGATGTGTATGGGCAAATTATTGACACCAAAGACACTTACTAAACAAGGCACCTATATCAATATTCATACAAGACTTCTTTCGGTTTCATGAAAAATAGGGATAGAACAAGATAAGATTATTTATCTTTAGTACAAAGATGTTGTAATTATTTTTAGTCATTAAATATAAAATCTAATATATTGAAATAAATCGTAATATTCAAGAAATTTTGTTTTGAATTTTGTGCTCAATCGATAACATATCCTCATTCACCCAATATCACATCCAACGATAAAACAAAAAATGAATGTGCCCCTCTTGTATTAAAAATAAATGACCTCATTGTATACATTTTCTTGAAAAAAAAAATATCGACCACATAGGTTCATTATGGGTCAAAATTTGAGGGCAAGAGGCATTGAACCAATAATACTCAAAAACCTCTTCAAAAAAATGAGCCAATAGGGTGGGTGGGTGGCTTTCTAAAGAATGTTAAAAATACAAAAGCCAAGGACTCTCCAAGCTCCTTGGTCCTCAGACAATGACTACGACAGTGGAGTGGAAAACCCCATCACTCGATCAAGGGCTCGTGAGGGAGCATGTCAGGAGGGAGCAGTGCGGAGCCGCACCTTGCGCAGAAGAAGAGCTGCGGCACTGCCTCGGCGTCAGCGATGCCAAGGCACCGAGTGTGCTGCCACACCTCGCACACGTCGCACGCCACCATCCGCTCCCCGTCGTCGTCCCTCGCACCGCACTCACACTCCACCCTCCACTCCTCCGCCCCACCTTCGTACCTCAGCCTCTCCTCCCCCCTCTCCGCCCCTCTCCCTCTCACCCACACCCCCATACCTGACTCCGCCACTCCGAACAGCAGCTCCGACTCGCTGATCTCCTGGCCGTGAGGCCAGATCAGGTCCTCCGCTGCAAAGCCCTCCATGATGCAGTAGGTGTCACGGAAAGCATGCTCGGCCTCGGCACGTAGGTCACCGACTGTAGCGTGGAGTGGCACCACCACGAGCTCGGGTGGCGGAATCGCCCGTGAGAACATCCCTGCCTCATCCTCGGCCACCACCACACTCACCATGAACCTCAGCTGCTCATCTGCGTCCCTGATCGGCCACTCTTTGGTGAAGTGCTTCGTGTCCAGGACCACGCGCCTAGCCGCCTCCACAACCTTGCCACCCAAACCACCTTCCAAAACCCTCCTGTACACGTACTCCAGGTCTCTCTCGATCTCACTTCTTCTCCCCACCTGAAGCTGGTTTTGAGGGTGGTCTCCTGACTCGTATTTCCTGTTTTCTGTGGCCGCCTCACCATCCCAGTTGTCGAGCTCGGTGGAGGATAACGATGACAACGAGTACTCTAAGACCTTCGTTTTGGGGTTGACGGTGCGCCGAATGAGGTGAGGACCGACCACGCAATTGTTGAGAGACTTGAGCACGAAGTCAAGGAGGCCCGTGTCCCCGATGCGCCCACGAGCAGCGTCACGTACCTCCTGGCGCAACATTCGCCTACTGCCGCTCGCCTCTAAGATCTCAGCCACGACACGTGCAGCCACCTCAAACCTCTTGGGTGACCACCGGCACTGCGATGATGCGGCCAACTCCTCAACCCCCACTACCGCTTTATGATTGTGGTGCTTCTTTAGCAAGCACTTTGAAGAGGTCACCAGTCGTGACCCAGTGATGGGTGGTGCCGCATCTGCCTTTTGCCAAGGGAGGCGGGCCTTGAGCTGGAGCATGGTGTGCAAGAGCTGGCCTAGAGTGGATATCTCCGAGGTGCAGGTGGTATTGTAGGCTCCGAAGATTCGATGGAGGTGGGGGACTTGGTGTTCGGGGTCAAGCATGTCGAGGGGAAGCTGGTTCAGGATCTTGACCGCCATCGAGTAGCGGTTCTCTGATATGCCAAAGCTTCCATGGAAAAAACTGTAGCCCCACCGCCAAAACCATGGGTGGCCATAGGCCGCACTGTGTAAGAGACGGAGGTCCATAGAGTGCTTGCGCGCTGTGTCTTCAACTGTCACCTTCCTGTAAAAAGAAAGAGCAGGCATGGATTAGGAGACAGAGATAGTGGATTCTGGGGATTTTGGCCTGAAGATGATGAGATTCAGGCAAACTTTGGTAGAAAAGTGGTGTGGTTGTAGACCTGGTGCAAAGCATGGAGCAAATGCGATCCCAAAGGTCCATAGTGTGGTGGCCAGAGAGGTGTTTGGAGCCGTTTTCATGGCCATTGAGGGAGAGGAGGTGGCCGAAGCCGCTGCAGTGGATGAGGCCGTGGAGGAGGTGGGTTCTGCGGTCAAGGACTAAGCGAGATGGGAGCAGGTGGTGGGATTGGTCGGAGGCAGGGATTATGAAGTGGTAGCGACGCCGCGAGACCAGGTGGTGGCTCCAACCTAGTGAAAGAGAGAGATGAATTATTCATCAGGTTGCACTAAGACCATGTATAAATTAAATCAAAATATATGATTAAATTGTAAATTTCTCATAGGTATTTTCATAAATTTCCCCAAAATTTATTAAAACCCCAATACACGATCAAATCCTAATACACTTCAATGATCTTCGAAACAGAATCCCATTGGTGTTCATGGGAGAAAAGCCATTCAAAATGAAACCCTACTGATACTGGGAAAAGCAAACTACGACCCATGTACTGAAACTATGATGCAATCCAGATTCAATCATTATGACTAATTTTCACATAAAAAGAAAATAACAAGAATAATTCTGAGTAATTTTCACGTACCTACACAACGACAATGGTCACAGTAGGGCCAGGGGGAATTACGCACGTGCTCCTCAACCACATAGAGAGGGATTAGGGTTTCTTGAGACAGGGCCAAGTATACAAGCCAAGCGGGGTTACCCTCGACTTCGTGGGCCAAGGTTTGGGCCCAATGGGCCAAGAAGTCACGCACGTTGTCCCGGAAAGCTCCTGAGAAGGAGGCAGGGCGCCCTGGCTCTCCGAAGGAGTGGAACGCGAAGATGTTGTTGGGCTTGGGAGTGGGCTTTGGCTTGGTGGGCGTGGGCCTTGACATGGTCTTGGGGATCTTGTTGCAGTTGTAGTTGTCATAGGTGAGAGGAAGAGGGGAGAGGGTGAAGGTGGTATCAGAGGCTGAGCGCTTGTACACTGAGCAGGCCATGACGCTGGACGACCCCAATCTTGCCTCCTCAGTGTTTCTTGGGGGAAATAATTCAGGAGAGAGAGAGAGGTGATGCAGATAAGAGAGAAAAAGAAAATGAAGAGAGAGATGATGATGATGCAGATAGGGGAGAGAGACGATGCAGGTAGGGGAGAAGAAAGAAGAAGAGAGAGAAGATGCAGGTTTTTTTTTGGGCTAAGTTGGAGAGAGAAGAAAGAAGAAGAAGAGAGATGATGCAGACGAGAGAGAGAGAGAAAAGATGGAGAGAGATGATGATGCAGGTAAGAGAGAGAAAGAAAAGATGAAGTGCGAAAGAAAAGATGAAGAAGATTCATAGAGACAGAGGGAGGTTTGGACAAATGAAGAGAGAGGGGGATCTTTTATGACGTCATAGGGGGTTACATCGCCGTCAGGTAGTTGGAATATTCTAACGACGTACACAATTCCGTACGCGTTGCCTGTTGTCCGGAGTCCATATCGCATCGCCTCGCCGCGCCGTGAAACGTGTCGAGTTTTGAGGACTCCTGAAATTACAAATCGCATATTTAAACATGGAAAGATAAGGTTCTTACCAAAATAACGCTAGCAACCTTCAACATCCTAAAGCGACCAAAATGGTCGTATTACTAACACTCATACTTATTATATCGAATGTGGCCCACAACTTTCGTACTGGCCCCTGAGGCCAGTTCCATTTCTTGGCCTAGCCTGCCCCCTTTCTCTCTCTTTTTTTATTTTTTATTTTTTATTTATTTTTATTTATTTTTTTAATGCGCATGCAATTGGAGTGTTGAAAACTTTATGACAGTTTTGAAAATCAATTTTTATCTCTAGCTATGAAATTTAAAATTTCAAAAAAGATACAGATTGGATAGATCTATGAACATCAAATTCTTTTGAATTACAATATGTATATTTTTAATTTTGAAAATCTATTTTTATTTTCATATCTATACATCTTGAAGTCATGATGATTGAATTATAAGATTTTCCAACATTACAATACTCTCTTCTAAAGGAATTTTGAGGTGCACTCGACTTCAATGGTATAAGGTTTGCACCTTAGGTAAACCTTTTCCAAAAAAAAAAAAACAGAAAAAAAAAGAAACAACAAGGACAAAGATAAAAACCAAGAAAAGAACCTGGGCTTAATTGGTTTGGGCTTGGTGATTTACAGCGCTACGTTATAGGCTCAACTCCTCCCAAGAAACTTGGTTTGGGCTTGGTGATTTAACTAGGGAGTGGGGCCTTGAAACTCTTCGCTTCTTTGAAAATAAATCCAGAACAAGTCTGTAACAAAGATGAAATCCTCTTAAGTTTGGTATATATATTTTAAGAGTGCGGTTTGTATAAGGCAAAGGTTCTAAACAATCAGTGTGAAGCACACCTTCAAATGGTGTCTGGAAATATGGTTTAAATACTGAAAATCTTTGTGATAGCCTTAAAATGTATTTTCATATCTAATTATACAATTTAAAGCTTAAAAAATAGTATAGATCGAGTAGATCTTTGAAACTTTGAAAATCTTGAAAATTGACAATCAAAAAATACATAACAAGATACACTATGTCCAAATCTTGAAATCCATTTTTTTCACACAATTTGAGGATTTTTTTGGTATTAAAAGCCATCTGCTAGTTAAATTTTTGAGGTGCACCTTAATTTGGTTGTTTAGGGCCTTGCACTTGTATAAATTTGTTCCATATATTGACGGTGTCACTCCCTATTACAAAAAAAAGGTAAAGCCAAAGTTGGGTTTCAATATTAGAAACCATTAAGATAGCCTAAAAAACTATTGCTGCCCCTACTTATAAAACTGAAAGGTCAAGAAATGTAAAGAATTATGAAAGCCTAGAAATGATATTATATCACTAGATCCACTTTTTTAGAGCTTGAAATCTTTTTTTGAGAAAGGTTTCTATACTTCCCCTATATCATAGAAGATCTATGCTTCCCCTACTATCCAGCCATCTAATTTTGATCAAGAGAGTCACTCACAGTTTGATCTTAGATCCGATGTCTCAAAGTATTTTATTTTTAATTTTTTTTATACAAATTGTATGAATATGAAATTTGGTACGTGTCATCCAATGTCTCAAAGTATTCTAGTGCATGTGGTTCAAATTTAAGGTATTAATAAAATTAAACTAAAAAGCATGATGTATAATCTACTCACCCATCGAGCAAGGTCAAATTTACTCGGATGAGTCTGAGTGGCTTGGGCTAAGTCTCAAGACTCTGGTTGTACCACCAAAGTCTTGCCAAACTAGTGGGTTCCCATATGGTTACAAGTATGCATTATTTCCTCTTAAATAGTGAACACTAAAAAGTAATATCTGCTTTTAACCAGTACAAGAACACAAATACACAACTTCTGCATGAAAATATAGATAATCAAAGAAAATAAAAATACTAGAAAAATTCAGCTCTCTTTAAAAATTCTCAAATATTACAAATAAATACAAAAATAATACAAAAATGAAAGAATGTTAATCAAATTTCTCCTTTTTCAGCGGATAAACTAGAGAACGGACCTAAGAGGAAAGATTTGGAGAGTAGAAACAACCCTAATTTTAGAAAGAGAGAAAATCAAACATGCAATTATAGCAGTCTAGATAGAGAAAGCTAAGAAAATAAAAAGTTAGAAGGAGCCCCAAATTTTTAGAGGGGGAAAGAATGTTATGTCACATGAAATGCGTTGAGGATTGATGTCTTGTATTATGAGGAAATATATCTGCTAAGGTGAAGTAAAAAAGACGATTCCAGAGGGCAGTTAAAAGCTCGAAGGGCCGAAAGGTATTTCGATAATTTGTATCATCTATCTGAGACTCGGTATATATTATTGCGATTGAGCGTTCATCTAGGGTTAAGGGTTAAGGGAAAAATACAGATCTCTTTGTAATTAGATAAAGATATAGATGCGTGAGGAAGAGAGCGTATTTGTAACCATATTTCTATTGCCAGTAAAGAAACTCTAATCTCCCATGGACGTAGGCACGTTGCCGAACCACGTATATATTTGCGTTGTGGTTGATTTTTTCTTTATTTTTTGTTTGTTTCTTCTTTCTTGTTTTTATGGATTGCTTTTTGTTTCTACAAATCACATAAAATGAAAGTGCAAAAACGACTGTTGTCGAATGATAAAGAGATAAAAAACACATAAAAGCGTAGAGCTGATAGAAGTTCTTAATGCACATGCATATGTTAAACTCGACGCATCACATGTATCACTTTCAGGACTTCTCAAATGACTATTAACATTTTAACTCAACTTATTACTCTTTCCGATGCCACTTGTTTTGAAAGTATGTAATGAAGAAAGGGAAGTTGAACTATAATTTCACAGATTTCATTTTAAATTAAATTGCACATCTCAGATTGGCCACAAAGGCTCCACACATGTTCTACAATTGATATGTTTCTTTTCATTTTAATTGTTCAAAAAAAAATATGTTTCTCTTCATTTTACTTTTAAAATCAAAATATCACAAGAATATATTCTTTATATATTTTAGATTGATTTAAATTCCATGAAAAATATTTTAGTGTTGAATTGGGTTTTTATTGGCACACATTTCTTTATCCATTTGTATAAATGGGATAGGAAAGATGAATTGTTGTATGTGAATTGAATGAAATAGACGGCATACACGAGACATGTTCTGGATACATATTTTCAGTTAAATATTGAAAAACCATAATACAACACCAATATCTTGGCACTTATAATGAATAGTATTATATGTGGAATCTTTAGATCTTCATCTATGGTTCAAAATACGCATCATTATCTAAACTTTAATATTTTTTTGTTGAAATTGGGTCGTGATGAAATTTGGGACATGTGCACTAAACAATAGGGTGTACAATAGAAAAATATTTTCAATTATGGAAAATGATAAAAATATCTTTGAAAATTGATGGTGGTAATTTGGTTATTCTAAATTATTGAAAGTATTATTTTATATATTTTTATACGATGCACGATGGTGTCAAGTATATACACCCAAAATTTAATCTTAATCTGATTTCTATAAAAAAGATCAAAATTGATATAGTGACATGTATTTTGAACCGCCCATTAAAGATCAAAATATTGGAATTCCACTTATATTACTATTTATTATAGGTGCCACATTTTGGTAGCTTTATCTTTTTCGTACACCTACAAAAGTAGATTTTAAAAAAAATTTAGAGGTTTTTTTTAAAAAAATTTAATGCCAGATCTAGCAGATCCAATGATCTGGATAAGTTTTCCATATGGCCAATCAGCGTACCCCTCCATATGAAATAACAATTTCGATGAAAGCCGCTGCCTCCATGACCCATGATAGAGGATTCCACATGAAAGTGAAGAACTAGGGGAAATTGAGGATCTTGCTTTCCTTTGTGAAATTTCCAAAGAAAGTGAGGGGCACATAAGGAGAAAAGGATTATCCACATAAACTCCTATATAATTTCAGGTGGCCATGATTTTTTTTTTTAATGTACTTTTAAAAGAATATCAATTTCACTATTATAGTTTGAAACTGCATTTCTTTCTCATTTTTTATAGAAAAAAGAAAAGAAAAATTACAAAAAAAAACCCCAAAATACACTATTTATGCAACCTATCCCCCAGCTAATCTTTTCTCTCACTTTTTTCCTCACAACCATATTTTCTCGTAAATAACCCCCCAATCCAAAAAAAAGGAGAGACTAAACTACCCCCACCTCTCTCTCCTCGTGCGTTTACCCACACCTCTCTCTCCTTGCTCCGGCAGTCCAATAAAATACTCCCCTAAACTACCCCCACCTCTCTCTCCTCGTGCGTTTACCCACGCCTCTCTCCTTGCTCCGGCAGTCCAATAAAACACTTCGATAATGAAAAGAATACGCTCCGGCCATACAAAGACTCGCTCCAGCAATACACCTTCTGGAGCCACAGCGCTCCGGCGGTTGAATAGGTCACTTTGGCAATGAAGACATGTGCTCTAGCAATGCAAAGACTCGCTTTGACAGTACACCTTCTGGAGCCACAACTCTCCGGCAGTTGAATAGGTCGC